TCGCCATGCTGCCAGCTACATCATCCCCAAAGCTCTTTGATAATGTACCCAGCAGCCAAACGTTTGTGGTCAAATGCGTAACGGTATTAGTGGTACATACAAATTCTCGTAATGACCGAATAACAAATGACCTTATCAATTAACCAGAAAAATCAAGATAAAATTTTCTCCAAGACGCTAAAAAAAGCAAAAAATTCTCGAATTTTAATCATTGATCGAGAATATCCTGCGATTGGAAAATTTTAGCAAGCAATTCCTACAATAGATTTTCACTATTTTATTTTCTATTGAATAAACGAAAAATTCCGTGCTTTTTGTGCACGAAAATGCGTAATTTTGTCATCAGAAAACGAGTTATTTTCCGTTGTGGGAAAAAGTGGTTTCCCTTACACAGTCGCTGAATATTGATACCGATCACGTAATCCTACGTTAAATCTACGGTCGTGTCTTAGATACGACCTCTTACTTTTTTATGTTTTCGATCAACTGAATTTGAATTCAAGCCATCTAATAGTAATAAATCAAATGTTTTTATAACGCAAGTGAATCTGTTTTACATTTTGGATTCGGAATTCATACAGATATTTTGAACGTTTTAATCATTGGTTGGTTGGTACGAGAATCCATTTTAGTGCAAGCGATTCATTATGTTGATGAAACTATCCTAGGTTGGATCACTGATACATACCACGATTCGATGACTTCCATGAATGAGCAAAGATTTCAAAATGAATTTGAAAACTTGAATGATGTAGTATTAGTGAGTTACTACTACTTGACTTATCAGATACTGGAAAATTTGTCCTCAATAAACCTGGAAACGGATCCTGCATAGTTTTAGGGTTATCGTTATCGTTACCACTCAAGCTTTGAGGAGCGTTCTTTTGAACTTCCACCAATTCAAATTAGGAGTATAGGCCGAGATTAGATCTCGATCTACCCTTCGCAAGTGAACCTCACGATACTTTGAAAATATTGCTGGTTTTGTCCGAAATGATGATTGGCCTACAGCTCCACCTATAGTTATATATAGAGGACGTGAAAGATGTTTACCTAGGTGGTTGCTTGCTTCAACTTTGACCAGGACTCAAGTCAAATTTCTGTCGTTTTTTGGTGAGGCTTCGCTACATGACTCCTGGCCTGCCTCTGCCAGGCTAGGAGTCATGTCATGTGGTTGGTCTACTGGACTCCAATCTTCCTTGCATATTGTGCACTCTTTCGTAGTATGTGTTGCTGTTGGTCTTATCGTCTGGCGCTATCTGTCTGCAGAGATATTGGAAACTTCCACCTCTATACACTGCTTATCTAGCTACCGTAAAGTTGAAAGGGTTGTCCGATTTGGTATTGCTGCCGTTGCTGGTGACACCCAGCACTGGCGACCTGGATAGGGTCAGACAAAGCTCTCTTACGCAAAACTTTGCACTTGAAAGCCTCGTACCGCACTTCGATGAGGTTAATGATTTCATCCGTGTCGATCGAAAGCTTCATCGTAGTCAATGAATACCATAGGCTAGGATGATAGCGTAACAATAAGGGTACACCCAAGATCTTCCCGTAATGATTTCTGAGATGCGTCGATCATCTACTGCATTCAATTCAGGATAAATTTGCGCAGAAAATTGAGAGCAATACGCAATTATATGATACATCACGAATTGCTACACACAACCTGATCCCGCTTATTAGGACCTTCACTAAGATTGAGGGCAAGAAGTTAGCCTGAAAAAAATATTGTAGAATAATTGATAGATTTCTTGGACAATTGATCAACCTGAAATATTGAAAACATTGAAGAGGACTTATGAAGATATTTTATCATCTTTGGAATAATTGATGATCTACCTGCTATCTTCTTAGAATATTTGAGAAACATTTTATTAATTGTTGGACGGTTTAAGATCTTTATAAAAATATCAGGTCAACCTGGATTCTTGAAAAAAAAAGTAAAGTCTACTTATATTTTCTTCAAGAATTCAGGTTCAGGTTCAGGAGATCATTATTCACTTGAAGGTCTTCGGATTTTTTTTTAAAGATATTTGCTCTTGTTAGAGAATATTTGAGAGACGCGATTTTATTCCGAAAAGGTTACGAATTTTAATATTTATTTAGAATACTTCGTAGAAGGCCAGGGACCCTCAACGAACTTATTAAAATGTAGAGCAAATCCGTGGATGTACAAAGGTCTTTAAAGAATATCATGATCCTTCAAAAAATGTCACGAATATTGGGGAGTCAATGGATCTGTGGAAAACTTTACGGTACGTTGTAGAATTTTACGGAACTTCAAAGAAGTTCACGGAACTTTGGAGAACTTCAGGGATTAATAAAGAAGTTCACAGAAGCTCGGAGAACTTCATGGAATTTCGGAAAATTTCACGGAACTTCGGAGATATTCATAAAACTCAAAATTCAGCTTTCATGCATGAGTTCATTTACCTAAGAATTTGGTCTTGCGAAATTCAAGTGCACAATAATCAGCGATAAGTGTTCGGAAAAAAATCATTGCTTTATATTTTGACATTTTTCATTTTTTGGTTCTTAGTGTTTATGTTTGCATTATTCGAAGGAAAACTGAAGAAATCTTCATGTCCATGCTATCAAATGACAATTGATCCGTTTTTACTAGCATTTCATTAGACTGAACTTTTGCTGATGTGAGTGTGAGTACGTGAAAATTTGAGATGCATGAGAGTCTACTGAAAAGTATTTTCAATTACCTTTCTTTTGATATTTTGATCTTTGATATCTTTAGGGGGCGACCCCGGTGTAGTGGTTAGCATCCATACCTCTCACGCCAAAGTCACGAGTTCAAATCTCACCCCCAGACAAGTCACGAATAACCCAAGAGCGTTAAAGTGACTGTAATAAAAAAAAAGATTTTTGAAATCGACCCAGCTATGATTTTTTTGAAAAAAAAAGTAAGAGGTTGTATCTAAGACACGACCGTAGATTTGACGTAGGATTGCGTGCTCGGTATCAATATTCGGCGACTGTGTTAGGGAAACCACTTTATTCCACAACGGAAATGACTCGTTTTTTGATGACAAAATTACTCATTTTCTTGCACAAAACACACGGAAATGTTTGGTTTATTTAATAGAAAATAAAAAAAAGCGAACATTTATTGGATGATTTTCTTGTTGAAATTTTCGCAATCAATCATTAAAATTCGAGATTTTTTGCTTTTATTTTAGCGTCCTAGAGAAAACTTTACCTTAATTCGAAGTGTTTTTGGTTAATTTACAAGGTCATTTGGTATTCGGTCATTGCGAGAATTTGTATGTACCTCTTCAATACCGTTAGGCATTAGACCACATACATTTGGTTGCTGGGTACATTATCAAAGAGCTTTGAAGGTGATGTGGCTGGCAGCAAGGCGAGCGAACGTTCAATGAAAAATTAACTCTTAAACAACAATAATTGATGGTGGTCCTGAAAAGAACCGTTTTGTCGTGATGGTTGAATAATATCTGAGCTATTAGGGTGTTCAACACAGATGAGGTTGGCGAGCTGTATGTTGTTTGGAACGAGGGTAACGCGCTTGGCATAGATGGCCCACAGCGACTCACGAAGAGCTACTGAATCCGATCAGTAGCGGTGCGGCTTCTTCGGCGATTGGACGCTCATGTGGGCTGCAGCTCGCTGCTTGCCTTTCTTTGTGGACTGTGGAACAATGTACAACGTCAGGTGCCGTAAGCACTACTACTGCTGCTGCTGATGACGATTTTGAAATCTGTCTTAGGGAAAGCGCTTTTTGCAAGCAATTGGTGATAATTTTGATCACCATTGCAGCAGTTTTCAGATTTGTGTAATTTTCAAAAGTGACCTATTGAAAACTTGTAATGTAATCATTTTCGCAGATTCGTAGAAAAATTTAAAATCCATTGGCTGTTTAGAATTACAATCCATCCACTATTGACAGAGTTATAAGTGGTCAAAACCTGACCACTTTTCGTGACGCGGTTGATTATGGTGTTTTGTAATTGCACCGTCAATATGTTGCCGAAAGACGTAATCCTACGTCAAAAAATCGATTTTTTTGGACCACCCAAACATGGAAATTTTTACCCTAATGACAAAAAAACGGGTCTAATATTTTGCGAAAAGGAACAAAACTACATATTTTTACGAAATTCTGAGAACCACTATATCGCTTAAACTATGAAGTGGCTGATACGTATTTCTGAAAAATGCAGTTTTCTCAGTGTAGCCAACTAAGAGGAACTAAAGACAACAACTTATTGTGCGTAACCGATAGAGTGTATTTGAAAATTCTACTTGATATTCACGGGCATTAAAAGCAAAGCAACAGGTTTCGTTAAAATGGCCCCCCTCCCGTCTCAAACACGCAGCTCCTTCGAAAACCAGTAAAATAATCTTGCCAGAGTTCAAATTTTAACATCAGCTAATCGATTAACCTGAACGGTCGGATGCTCTTTTCATCCGCCAAGTTTCTGCAAATGAAGCATGGAAATTCCTCTCCAACCAACCCGTCTTCATTACACTGATCCGAAATTCCGATAAAAAAAAAACACACACACAAAGTAGCTCTTACATCAAAGTTTCCGCTCATGGTCGAATTTCGTCGGATTAGCGAAACGGAAACAAGAACCGAAAAGTGAATGTACACATCGGAAACATTCGAAACTTGTTGAAAGTTTTAATTGAATGAAAGATCATGAAAAATTACTCCGGGAAGAAAAGCAAGATAATCGATTAAAAATGTATGCTTCAACAACCAGAGGAGCAAAGCAAACAACCAAACTCTTTGGCTCGGGCCGAAATCTTAATGGGATTAAATAACCGACAAATTGGATCCAGGATTTTCGTTGCTAATTTCCTAATTAAATCCCAAGCGCTGGTCTTTTGATGTTCGCAGCGAGCCAGCGAGCAAATAATCGCTTCCATTTGAACCGTCCGTTGTAATTGTAAACTGTTTGTTGCAGATAAACACACCGGGACTAAATACGTCTTCCTTTTCTCTCCCTGTTTCATTGCAGTCAAGCGGAGACGACGACGATTTGTTCGAGCCACCGATGATTTCACCACCCCCACCGGAGTACGCCTACCGGTCCAAGGGCGACAAGGGCGAGCGTGGTCCCAAGGGACCTCCGGGCGACTCTATACGTGGGCCTCCGGGGCCACCAGGTCCACAGGGTTCCCCCGGACCACCGGGATCACCCGGTGCTGCCGGTCCCAAAGGATCCGGCCTGTTCGACGAGGGATCCGGCGATGAAGCGGTAAGTACAGTTTCCGTCAATGGATGAGTTTTGTTTGCGCTTTAGGGTGGTCCTGGAAGCAATTTAATTTTGGGGACCAACCTAATCAACAACTGGTCCGTTTGTGCCGCCAGCATCGTCTGTGCGAACACACGGTGGAACGGTTGGCTGTCGGTGTGATGGTCATAGTTTATTAAAATTCAATTTCTCTCTTGCGCTCTCCCCATTTCGCACCGCTGCATACTGCTGCGCTCGTGGCAATTTAATCTGATCAGAAGAGATTATCCCAGGTAATTAAGAGATGGAATAAAATATATCATCTTCCCCGCTCATCGTCTCATTGTATTATATTGGCTTATTCGGTTTCGTTTGTTGTGTTGTTGCTGTTCTTGTTTATGTTGATCCTCGATTTATTCGTTTCATCGTTCTAATTATTTTCACTTGGATGCCCCGGCCGGGACGACGACGGCGCACCAAGCCTGTTTGTGTACCACTTTATTTATGTCTGTTCATTAGCAAATGAGGGAGCAACTTCTTCTATGGGCTGAGCGGACGACGAAAATGGCCCTCGCTGCAGGTGGCTGGCTAAATGGTCGATGTTGTCTTATTATTTGCAGAGTTCAATTATCCAGGAAAAATTTCCACCTCCCTAGTCTAGTCGAGAGAGTTTCTGAGAAGCAGTCTAGCAGATGATAATTATAAAATTTCAGCGGAAAACAGGCCAATACCAGATTGTGGATAATTCTAGATAGAGCTGGAATTATAGCGTATCAGCTTTTGTAAACAATGACTTCTATCGATGATTTCTAGGAACTCAAGGCACGCCCACGCAGACCAACACAACCATCGGATAGGGAAAGTCTTTCCCTACCCGATGAGGAGGTTGGTTTGCGTAGGCGAGCCTTGAATTTCTAGAAATCATCGATTGAAGTCATTCTTTACAAAAGCTGATACGCCCTAATTCCAGCTCTATCTAGAATTAACTGTTAACTGAGAGAAATAACACCTAACTTGTGCCTTACGGAGGACTTCATCAAAAACAACTTCGAACACAGTCAAAATATTAAAATAGCTAAAATAGTTAATTGTGGCTTTCTGAAACCAAAATTGACTGGTTGTATGTGTCTTACACAAACTTTACCTCCGCTTCTTGCATCTTACATATTAGGTTGGTTGGTTGGTTGTCTTTATTAAGGAGATTTTCAGCCAGACGCTGGTTCATCTCCGGCGCTTACATATTAAAAATATTATTATAATATCTCAAAGTTTCAAAATTTCGAAAAGTACTATAGTATTTTAGCTGTAATGTGTATGTTCAGGCCTGTTCCGGACAGATTATTTTTATCTATTAGACCACCCGCACCAATGCGTTGCTATTCAGTTGCTAGTTTGACTACTTCAGCCGTTGCTATTTTATTTAGCAACTAGTTTACGCACTGGTCATTACTGTCATTGTCATTGTCATGTCATTGCATTGCATCACGATAGTAAATTTATGATTTCGACTTTCACACCGGTAGTTGCTAAACTAATCGTCGAACTTCGAGCTGAAGTTAATCACAGAGTTTCTAGACTGTTTTTTTCGACAATTTTGATAGGGTTTTTGATCTAATTTTCGTCCTACCAAGCAGAAAACGGCTCTTTTTTTTAACGGATTTGAAAAATAAAAGTGAAATATTTCTGTCAAAGATGACTTCCAAATTGATTTACCTTTTCATACGTACCGTTGGATTTGATAAAGAGTCACAAATTGTTGAGATATTGTTCAAAATCTAATACTGCTTCTTGATTCTAAATTCGTTCTGATAGTTTCAATTCCGTCCTAACGCATTGAAACGCTATTAGATTTTCTTCGTCCTTCGGATAAACGCAGAAAAAGGGGATTCGCTAGGAGCGCTTCTTTTGTTTTGAGAACAATGAGCGTAAATATTCATGCAATGCGCTATAATACGATTTATGTTGTAGCTAATGAACTAACGCATCGTAATTGATATTATTGATCTTTTCTGATCGATAGAACGGAAATGGGCGATTACGACGAAGAAACGCTCTACTTTATACCTGACCATGAAGACTGAAGATTGAAAGTTGAGATCCAACTACAGACCCAGGACCTCATGAAGATCCAAAATATCCGTAAAGGTTGTCAATTCGTAAAAAAGATCCAAAGCTCAGTGATTTTTTTTAAAGCACTTGTTGCGATGCTACTTGAATGAATTTGAATCTGAATTTGCGCATGGTCACACTGGTGGTCACAAAACAATCCTATGAAAGATCCGGACCATCCATAGAAGTAGTAAATTCTTAAAAATTATCGAAATATCAATCTTCCTATGCTCCTCTTATTCAAGTTGCACACCAAAATGCATAAAGGCATTTTTGGATGCCCATCTGGATTACTAGATTACATATTTTAGCTCGTGAATGTATCAATCTCGGTTGGTCGAATTTAATACTGTAGATCTAATAACATCTGAAAAAAAAAACTTTAAAAAGTTCTGATTGCAAGAAATTTGGGAAAGTTTAAAGATCTTTGAGAGTAAGTTTCGACACCTTCATGGCAATCTAATAGATTTCAGGAAAATTTACTTCAGTGAAGATCAAGCCCTTCAGAGCAGCTCCATTAAAATCAGGAAAATTTAAGCTTAAAGACCTATGAGTAAGATACGTGAACTTTGAGTAAGTTCAGAATATTTTAGGGCAGTTCCATGAATATCAGGAAAACTGTGAGAACATCAGGAACTTTCCTAGAACTTCAGGTTAGTTTCAAGAAATTTGTGGTACAGAATTTGTTCGCCAACTGGGCTAAAAGCGCAGCCCAGTTAGGGGCTGTCCATAAACTACGTAGACAGTTTAGGGGGGGGGGGGGGGTTGACAATTATCCACAGCCCATACAAATTTAAATTTTTTTGTATGGACAATTGTCTACGCAGGGGGAGGGGGGGTCTAGAATCCCAGAAAAACTGTCTACGTAGTTTATGAACAGCCCCTTAACGAATTCTACTCGCTAACTGGGCTGACTGTCAAACGTCAAAAAAACATTGAGGGGAACTTCAATGGACTGTTTAATCGACGTTAAAAAAATTCACGTGCATTGAATTGAAACAGTGTAAAGCTTGTTATCGTTATTTTCACAGCATTCAAACTCGTGAATTTAGAAAGGCTTAATGCTTCTTGATTTCGGTGTGAAATAAAAATAATTTCAAATTTATTTATATTAAACACTTAATATTCCATTCGAATACCCCTCACCAGTTTTGACAACGAAATGTCAAACTAAAAATTTGTGGATAGTCCAAAAATTTTCAACGAATGAACTTAAAAATTTAAGAAAGTTAAGTCAAAAGAATTTCAGAGATGTGCAGATAGTTTGAGGAAAATTGTCATTTTAAAGAACTTCCGAGTATCTCAAACAGCGGCGCCGGTGGTGTAGTGGTAAGCGTCATTACCTCTCACCCCAGCAGGCCTGGGTTCAATCAAAGTCGGCGCCCAGGGATGTTCTGAGGCATAACATCTCTGATCACGGAAGTAAAGCCGTTGGTCCCCGGTTCTTGAGTTGATGAGTCGATAGGTAGGGTCCAGGTGTGGGAGCTGCCTTCCTGGCGTCGGTAACATTGGTGCTCAGCACGGAAAACAAGATCGACGAAAAACAAACCAAAGGAAAAAAAAAGAGTATCTCAAAGAAGTAAGACTAAAGAGATTTGGGGAATTTCAGAGATATTAACGGCAATTCCAATAACTTCATAACTGGGATGAGTACTTAAGGGGGTTGGATTTTGATAAGTTCTTTAATGGGAATGACACTGATAAAGACTGCCTATTGTAGTCGAAATACGTATCTTTCATAGATACCAAAATTAATTAAGTGGAATTAAATGGAAGATTACCCTTTTTTGCTGTTTTATTCATAACTTCGAGAAATTCAAAAAAGGCCAGACATTCAGAGAAGTTTGAAGTAAGCGAAAGTTCCGATAATTTCCGGTCAACTCCGTAAACTTCAGAAAAACTATGAGAAATTCTTAGGAAGATCCGAAAATTTTAGGGAAGTTCAGAGAACTTAAGAAAACTTCAGAAATATTTCAGGAACTTCAATGAATGGTTTTTGGGACAGTTCTATTTAAGTTCAGGATAGTACCAAGAGCATCAAAGGAATTGAGAGAACTTCAGAAATGCTTCGAGGGCAGAAAGACAAATCAAAGAAACTAAGGGCAGTTCAACTAATTTCAAAGAAATTGAAGCAATGTTAAGAAGTTCCAAGAAACTCAGGAAATTTCCGAAGCTTCATCAGAGTACCAAGGCCTTTAAACAATTTTCATAAACATAAGAGATATGAGCATCAGGAAAATGAGAGATCATTTTAAAAAAATTCCTTGGTTTTCATTGCAGTGTAAAGAGCTGCACAAAATTGCAGGAAATTCAGTGACGATCAGATTATGTTCAAGGAAATTTCGAGATCAGTTAAAATGTTCAGGAATCTTCAAGAACGTCTAAAGACCTTCAGAAATGTAAATAGATTTTAAGGTACCGTAAAACGGGTTAACATTGATAGTTTTTTAAAAGTATATTCTAAATATTTGTTACAGCAATGAATGTTTTTCAAATTTTAAATTTAAAGTACTGAGGATCCAAGAGTTAATTCGTTAGTAATTTGTTTAACGGAAATTAAAGCATTTGCATTATTTTTTTAGTTTTGTGACCGAACTTCAGTTTTTTGATTTGAAGTTACTTTGATAATGCTCGAGGAATGTAGAAAAAAAAAATGGGTGAAACTCAAACAATTTAGTTCTTTAAATCAGACTTGCAATTGCTCATTACAGCTAAAATGCTATTTTTCGTTATTATGAAACAATGGGATACTATAATGATAATTTTTATTTGTAAGATGCAAAAAGAGGTGGTAAAGATTGTATATGACATATAAAATTTAGCCGGCGCCGGTGGTGTAGTGGTAAGCGTGACTGCTTTCTAACACCCAATGGGTCTGGGTTCAATCCCAGCCGAGGTCGGTGGGATTATTATGAGGCATAAAAATCTCTGGTCACGTCTTCCTTCGGAAGGGAAGTAAAGCCGTTGGTCCCGGCCCATGTCTGTTTGTGAACGGGTGCGATATCCTACGCAGGTGTGGAAGCTGCCTTCCTGCACATTCAGTTGCCGCCAATGGATGGCTATCGATGTCCGCCGGTGATTGGCACTAGATTACGGAACAGAGACCGACGTTAAATAAAGGAAAAAAAAGAAGGTATAAAATTTGTCAATTTTGCTTTCAGAAGGTCACAACTAGCGATTTTAT